GATTTGATTTTCCGGTTTGTATGTCACTTCATTTAATATTATTCGTGTTCACAACGTGTCAGAGGAAAAACACTTGAAGTGTCTGATGAAATTAGCAGTTTACTAACAACCTATTTTCCAAATAAACTATACTGAATAGATGAATTAGCTTGATATAAAAAATTCTATAATAAATACAGGGTGCATGGCGCACCTCATTCGCCTCGGTTGATTATACGTTAACGGAAAGACGTAGAAACAAAATATTTTATGGGTATATGTGGGGAGGCAATGTGCACAATTTAAAATTATTTTGAAATATACAGGGTGTTTCAGAACACTGACAAGATCCATACCAAAGTTATATTTTTTTCTTATGAAACACTCGGTATTTTATTTCATTTTTGGATTCTTGGGCCCAAAAAAGGCATATATTATAAGGGTTAAATATGTTTAAAATCTTTGGTTTTTGAGATATTTAAAGACATTTAAATATGCATGCTACAATAGAATAGGTTATTAACACCCCGTACATTACTTTTCAAATTAATTCTTGTGCTAATTCTAAATATGGGGAAATAAACTTTACTGAAAAAGCTTCGCTTCCTTAAATTTATACAGGGGTACAAAAAATTGCTGATCTATTTTAAGGATTTATTTTATATAAAAACTTCGTTATTTCAAATGCAATACCCTGTATTTTTTTAAATAAATCGAATCAGATTCAAATGCTCTTTCAAACTATATTAGGGTTTCTTATACCTATCTAGCTCATTAAGCTCTAGCTCTCATTATTTTATCAAGAAAAATAAAGCAGTATCTGCTAGCGGAACGAATGGATATGTTACTAGTGATTTTATTTTGTGAGGAAAATTGCTTTTTGGCCTCAAGGGCTTATGCTGAAAGACATCCAAATAGGAATCTTCCTGATAAGCGTTTCTCTGGAAAACTATTTGCCCTATTTCGCAGAGCTGGTAGTGTGGTTTATAAAAAACCTATTAGGCAGAAACCTGTCTTTGGAAGGGAATAAAATGAACTTGCTGCAATTGGCTCTTTTATAGAAAATCCATATATCTACAAGTAATCGTATAGATAACAAACAAAACAAATAAATCACAGAACTAGTTCTTCGTTTTTCGTGATAGAATAATAAATACATATTTAATAAATATGTTATTAAATATAATATGTTAATTATTCACCAAACTGTTATAGGTAAATTAAATAAAACTAAACTGGTACAAATTTAAATAAAGTCCATAAACTAATTTCAATTTTAAAAATAGCATAGAAACTTACTAGCTGTCACTAGAAACTTGCCATGGCCACATTGGAAAAATTTCTCTTTATTCAAAATCTGAGCTAGATGGGTATAGAAAACCCTAATATAGTTTGAAAGAGCATCTGTAGAATTGCTATTGTCCTTTTTGACAAACACAAAGCCATGGCGACAAGTCAAAATCAACTGGGAAACGATTTATTTTACGACAGACTAGAGAACTAGTAGATAAAGTTTGTGGACAATAGTGCATCCGATCTTTCATTCAAACGGTCGAATCAAATTTGTGTTGTACAACCCGTACTACGATAAATCGTATAGTGTGGCCCGTTTTACAAATACTCCCGCACTAAGCACAGTATAAATAAGTTTTTTTCTTATAAATAACTTTCTTATCGTTTGCATTTTACGCCCATGATGTTTGTTTAGGGCTTTTGTTCAAGTCTAAATGTTGGTGCCTGCATCTATGCTTATATTACCGCCGCGCCGGCGCCGCACGGTTGCCCTTGCATATGTTAAAGAGCGGCCATAAGTGATTTGGTTTGGTTTGGTTTGGTTTGGTTTGAATAGTAGTAGCATTGGTTTAAAAAAAAACAACAAAATTTTTGAATAAAATTTGTAACCATGTTTTTTTTTCTCTTAAACCCATCACATTTAATTGTCTTTTTCGCTTAGTGATAGCAAATAAGAATCTAAATATTCCTGGAGGCTTTAAAAAACCCGAGATGATTATTATATTTTATATTTTAAAGAAAACGTTTTCTCTACTTTTGGACTATTACTAAGAAAGTTCTGAAATTATTATTATGTATTAATTTTTCATGTTTTTTTAAACGTCGTTTTTATCCATATTTTTATAGTTTTCAAAATACCAAAAAAATACTATCGACGCTTATCGACGTTTCCTCTTATCGCAAATAATAATGTTTAAGGAATGTATTTGTTTATAAACAAAAAATGGTCTGCCTAATTCTGCCTATTCATGCGATATATTTATTTGAAGCAGTCCGTGTTTCTCAATAGACCGCAACACAATTTTAAGTTACGTTTTTTCAGAAAAGACAATAGTCGAAAATGTTCACGGTATGCCACAAATGAAGATGTTTTTAATTGTCTCCTCATATCCTCTGACCCTTATTTGACTGCATTTCGGCATATGTGGAAGAAAAGTGAATGTTTAGAGCTGGATGATGAAGCCAAAGAACTCCTTTTATAGAACATATTACTGAGTTGGTTGGGAATATGTTTTTTATATATCGTAATAATGTATAAACAGAACAATTTTAAATTTTAATGAAAGAAAGTAGTTGGCTCATTACAAACCATCTACAGGGTGACCTAAAAATATAGTATGTTTTGGAAAAATCTTACAATTTTTAAATGCTTATAAACTTTGCCAAACTGTCGTGGAATGTTTTAGTTTTGATCCTTTTAAAAAGAAATAGCTTTAGATTTTACCACTGAAATCTAAAACTACTGATACCGTGTTATAAAAATATGGTAATTAAGGGCTTACATATATTTTCCTATTTAATATAACTTTGCTAATATCTTCGATTTGAAAGAAGATATCAAGATGCGGTTTTCACTGACTTTTTAAGCTTTCATTACTCTTTATTATCAGCTAAAATGACATATACCATCGCATTTTTTTTTGAAAAAACGCACAATGTTTGTTAATTTGTAAGACAGCGCCCCCTAGCATCTACGTTCAAAAGCTTACAGTTATTGTTTATATGGTATAATATAGAGTAAGAAACGGTATTTTAAACGAGCTCCAGTTAGTTGGATTCCGTCCATCCAGTCCGGAATTATTAATATTTAAATAAAAACAGATCTAACCTTTCCCCACCACTTTATTTTGGCAGATAGGGGAAAATGGTTCTAACAAAAAATATTCAGAATTTACTGAAGATTATGAAGCTATTATTTATAGTACCCCTTATCTAGGCAAAGTTGTGTAAAAACTCCATTTTCTTATTTTTTATAGCAGTTGCGCCCTCTAGCGGCCATTCTACAAATTTGAAAATAATTTCCAGCATTTTCTCATGGTCTCTTTAGTTATGAATATTTTTTCCGCAAGCCTCACGGCTAATACTTTCCGAGATATAGCCGAGAGCTATTCTTAGTGGGATACCCTGTACAATAACTTTATTATAAGCAAAGAATATAACAGTAAATCAACGCACTAGAATATTTTTATTACAAACAAAACCTCAACACTGCACTTTAACCCTCTTTCTTTTTCCAATAGTTTATAAGTTTTCCATATATTTGTAGCACCCTGTATCTGTTTTTGATTTTAGCGTCATTTTGTATTTATCCAATTAATAATTAAATATTAATAAATTTATAAAAAAATAAAGATAATTTGACTCTAAAAATTTTAAATTAATTTATTGGAATTGAAAAGGTTTTTGATTTTAGTATAGCATGTATTAGTAATATATTAAATGGAAATTTTTAGAGGGGGGCAAGCTGGGGCAAGATGTTAAATTAGTTTCGTTATTAGAAAGGCTTAATCTACCTTGTGATATATATAAAGTCTTGGCCAACTTTGGCCATTTTTTTATTTTTCTACATACACATTTTTTTGCTACTAAATATAGTATTTAGCAGCAAAAAAATGTTTATGTGTCTCTTATATACAATTGTTCTCCCAAACTTTTGTGACTATATATATCTTTTATTTTAAAGTGAAAACAATCGTTTGCACTAATATGTATGGTTAAAAAAAATTATTAATGTCTTTGCCAGTTTTTATAAAACTAGGTTGTTTCACAAGAAATGAATACCAGTGTAATATCTTCATTTGAAACTTTTCAAACAGACATATAATTAAAACTATTTTTTTGAGTTGGATAAAATATAACGGTCTGGACTTTAAGTAATTCAAATCTTTTACCAAAATTATTTAATTTAAAATTTTATTTTTAAGTCAATGTCCAACATTTTATATTGGGTCTTTCCACCGTGGGGCGTGGGGCTGTTAATGTAAGAAAAACATTTTTTGGAATTCACCAGAAATCATTACTAAGCGATAACGGTAAATCTACAGGTGTGTACCTTTACCGATATTATTAAGTGACACACTTTACAAAAAAATAATTTTTGCAGTCATAATTAGACCGGCGTTTTGCTAAAATTCAATTAAAATTATAGAAAAATCTATTGATATTTTTCTTTTCGCCATAAATAAAGCAGCTGGGCTACAAATTACTTATTAAAGTATTTTTTTCCATTTATGACCGCTATATCGCTATACCTCGATCCACTGTGCGCCGCACCGTAGAAACGAACGATCGCATTGTCATCCGATTCAATTCTCACAATTCTTTTTTACGGCTCACCATTCAAATCTTATGGATCCGTGCTGGCCATGATTCAATTGAACGAACCGGATTGCAAGCAACGAATCGAATCTCACGATTCATTTTTAATGCTCGTTCAAATGAACGACTCGTTCAATCTTTGCCCACCTCTAATTTCTTATACGAAATCAATGATCTACGATATAAGAGTATCAAAAAACAAAGGTTTTGGCACCAGTCCACAGGAAACCTACCTCACTGGACAGACCCTTAGCGATAATTTCAACCCATGCATCGGTAAAGAAGAGTATAATCAGAACAAAACATGGCATACCAAAAAACATTTTTTGCTCCGTCATATATTCTGCGATTTTAAAAAAATCTTTTTTGCAGAAAATCATGTACTTAAAAAAATCAAAAACATAAAGTAAAAAAAACACCATTGTGTAATTTTAAATACTATTTAATCTGCACCCAAATTTGATTTGTACCTCATCTGATAATGCTGGATTTGTTTTAAGAGTTTGGTCAAATGGAACGCCGCCTCCGGATTGTTGTACTCCTTGAATTTCGTCTTGGTCTCCTTCGTGGTGATGCTCGCCTGACTCCTCTTCTCCTTCAGCTGTTTCACCTGTTGCTTCAGCGCCATCACCTCCTTATACAACGTCATCACCATGGTGATTTCCTCTTCTTTCTTCGTCAGTTCGGTCTCGAGTCGTTCCAGTTCCTTCATGGTTTCTTCGTTGTTTTCCGTGGTGGTTTTGGCGCACAATTCGTCGTACCGTCTGCAAAAAATTAAAGAAAGAGTTTATTTCACTCATAAAATAGTTCTTTTTGTATCTAGTGCGCAAAGGGCAACTTTGGTGATCGATACTTGAATTTTTGGTTTTTGGTTGAAAAATTAGTCGAGATCACCAAAGTAGTTCGCGCACTAGTTGCAAACAACATTTCTTCTGCAAATATTAAAATTGGGATATCCCTAAAAATTATTATTATTATATTATTGCTTCGAAAAAAAAGCGTTAGCTTGGAATGTATGTTTTTTTATAACTGAACATTATCATCGATTTCCTTTTAGGTCGTTCTAATACTTGGTATTTCTGGTGCTTGGCGCCGCCGCGCCGCCGTGAGGAACTTACTAAAATGACGGTCGATAACATAGAAGATAAAGATTCAATTTTGATTGTTAAAGTACCCGATACTAAAACAAACATAGACCGATACTTTACAGTGTCAAATTTGAATTTTATATTGAGATTTACTGAAAATATGCAGCTCTTCGTCCAAGAAATGCTACCAGTGGCAGATTGTTTTTAAAATATCAAAATAAAAGATGTGTTAACCAAGTGGTCGGCATAAATTCTATTGGTAAGATGCCTAGCATGATAGAAAAACACTTGAAGCTGCCAGATTGTGAGGCCTACACTGGGCATTGTTTCGGAAAAACTTCAGCCACACTCCTTGCTAATGTAGGGGGTGATATATTTAGTTTGAAGCGCCACGGAGGATGTATCTTCGACAGTGGCCGAGGGATACGTCGAGGATACTATCAAAAATAAAATTCAAATATCAACTAAAATTTTAAAGTGTCAAATACCGGGATCAAGTACCTCTACATCAAAATTGGATAGTGTCTCAGGTCTCAAAACCCCCATATCTCAAGCAAAATCAGAACTATCTGGTTTGGAATTAAATATTGGTTCATGTATTACTAGTCGTACTAGTAGGTAGTGTTAATGTTATACATAATAACTAGAATATGCATTAGTGTTAAGTTTGATATTTGTTATTTTTTTATTCTTGAATATTTCGAAGTAAATAATTAGTTATGATTTAGTTCTTCATTTTCCAAAAATCAAAATTCCAAAATCCCATATTATTTACATGCAGTGTGCGAAATAAGCATTGTCATTTTTTGACGTTCGTAGAAAAAATATTTTTATTATAAATAGTTTTGATATCTGAAAAAAAACGGACAACTATAAGAGTCGGACTCGCATTCATGCACGGTAGACGGACAAAGGGCTCCTTGACAGTTCTGTTTGACGATTCATTTGACACATTTGAACATTGCCTGGAAACTTATATGGTGAAATTTTGATAAAATAATTTAGTACATACTAAAAACACGGTATGTCGCTACTGGTAGGAAAATAATTTTTAGAGGTTACTAGTTTATTTCTTTGAATAAGAAGACTAAGGAAGGAGCATATCAAAAATCTTAGGTACACCGCGATGGGTCTCAAATATGGCCGACTTAAATTCCGGTTTATCAGTGTCGTTCTAATTTTATTTAAAAAATGTAAAACTATGATGTAGGGTAGACGTGGGGTAGACTCAATAATTTGTTGTTTTATTTTACGTTGTGAATAAATGTTGGTAGTTATTACAATTGTTATAAAAATATATAATTCTAATAAAAATAGATAAGTTATAATAAGTATTTATTAACACAAACATCCGATACGCTACTGAAGCAGGTAAGTCAAATTAACGTATCTAAATTCTTTGACATCTAATCTTTGACAAGTAATAAATAAAAGCTAAAATGCAAGAAAAAGATATAATTTAGTTAATCTAAGTGAATTTCATAAATGATCGGTTTACTACACGTATGTATATTATATATTCACTTACTAGCGAAAAGTTGTTCCATTATTTCACTCAATTTTTGCCGAGATCTACCGCACGCTACACAACCAACTATTTTAAAGTCTTTTTCGATAAATCGCGATAGTGTCACTGTTAATTTAAGTTCTGCCACAATTTCCATCTAGATTTACTACCTTTATACAACTATCAGTAGTAGAATAAATAATAAATAACATAAAATGAGCTCCGTAAAGACTGACAAATCCACAAAATTTCAAATCAAATTCAAATGTGTCAAAATCGTCAAACAGAACTGTCAAGGATCCCCACCCTAGAGTGCTTTTTCCGCCCACCATGCATGAATACATGGATAGCATTATGCTCCTTCCTTAGTCTTCTTATTCAAAGGTTTATTTGGTTGCCTGTGATATGCATATACAGGGACATTCCTAATTAATCTAAAAAATAAAAAATCGTTAGAAAACGGATTAAGGCGGGCTTAATAATTATATTTTTTTTTCTCGACAACCGTTTGATGAACAAGAAAAACTCAAAAGATCAATTTTGTTGAAAAAGGATGGCCAGTCAAGAAAAAAATATATTTTCTTTAAAAAAGCAGTGGTGTACCATTTATGTTAAGCAAAAAAATCATTTTTTTTTAAATTTTTAACACCCTGTAGATCAGAAAGGAACTACTTTAGACCTAATGGTTATATAAAAATTGTTTTAAGAACACATGAGGAATCACACCACAATATTTTTAGACTAATTCGAAAACACCCTGTATATTGTCAACTGGACAATGATTGCTGATAAATCAAAAAATACCATTTAAATGAAAAAAGCCTGATTTTCGCAGGAAAAATTTTGATTTTTATTGAATTTGGGCCTGCGTCTGTAAATACTGGTTTGTTTTTTAATTTTCTATCTATCTAAATTTTAAATATCATAGTCAGAAATAGTTTTATTATTTATTAACTCGAAAAATGGTGTTTTCTTGTTGTGTTACATCTTGCAAAGAAACTAACTAAACTGCAAAAATGCACATGTTTCCAAAAGACGATAGGGTATGTATCTTAGATAAAAGAAAAATATATGGTATGTATTCGTTGTTTGATTTTTTTTCGTTGGCTTTAAAATCTATAAATCTCGGTCTATTCATTAGACAGCCAGTCGACTTACGATCATTTACATGAAACACTGTAAAATAAATAAAAAAATAAACTGTAAAATATATATATATATATATATATATATATATATATTCTATATATATTTTATTAAAGTTACTATGATATACTAATATATCAGTGTAACTTTAAAAATATATATATATCGAATATATATAAATATAAACATAAAAAAAATATTTACAGCAGAAAAGGCGATAGGTGCTGGGTTAAACGAAGGTTAAACTTAGTCTGTATATATAAACGCGGATATATATTTATATATATATATATTATATATATTAAGTTTCATATCTAACTTAATAGTAGATTATTTTCTTTTATCTATGCATATGAATTTAATTTGAAATGTTGTGGATTTGTCAGTCTTTACTTAAGCTTATTTTATGTTACTTATTATTTATTCTACTTCTGATAGTTGTTTAAAGGTAGTAAACCTAGAAGGAAATTTTGTAGCAGAATTTAAATTAACAGTGAAACTATTGTCATTTATCGAAAAAGACTGAAAAATAATAATTATTTTTTTTTCTCGACAACCGTTTGATGAACAAGAAAAACTCAAAAGATCAATTTTGTTGAAAAAGGATGGCCAGTCAAGAAAAAAATATATTTTCTTTAAAAAAGCAGTGGTGTACCATTTATGTTAAGCAAAAAAATCATTTTTTTTTTAATTTTTAACACCCTGTAGATCAGAAAGGAACTACTTTAGACCTAATGGTTATATAAAAATTGTTTTAAGAACACATGAGGAATCACACCACAATATTTTTAGACTAATTCGAAAACACCCTGTATATTGTCAACTGGACAATGATTGCTGATAAATCAAAAAATACCATTTCAATGAAAAAAGCCTGATTTTCGCAGAGAAAAATTTTGATTTTTATTGAATTTGGGCCTGCGTCTGTAAATACTGGTTTGTTTTTTAATTTTCTATCTATCTAAATTTTAAATATCATAGTCAGAAATAGTTTTATTATTTATTAACTCGAAAAATGGTGTTTTCTTGTTGTGTTACATCTTGCAAAGAAACTAACTAAACTGCAAAAATGCACATGTTTCCAAAAGACGATATGGTATGTATCTTAGATAAAAGAAAAATATATGGTATGTATTCGTTGTTTGATTTTTTTTCGTTGGCTTTAAAATCTATAAATCTAGGTCTATTCATTAGACAGCCAGTCGACTTACGATCATTTACATGAAACACTATAAAATAAATAAAAAAATAAACTGTAAAATATATATATATATATTCTTATGTTTTATTAAAGTTACTCTGATATACTAATATATCAGTATAACTTTAAAAATAAATCCTTCGAATTCAAATATAAACATAAAAAAAAACGTTTACAGCAGAAAAGGCGAAGGTGCTGGGTTAAACGAAGGTTAAACTTAGTCTGTACTAAAAACACGGAGGGGCGCTTTGACCCAAAATTTTACTATTAAGTTTCATATCTAACTTAAAAGTAGATTATTTTCTTTTATCTATGCATATGAATTTAATTTGAAATGTTGTGGATTTGTCAGTCTTTACTTAAGCTTATTTTATGTTACTTATTATTTATTCTACTTCTGATAGTTGCTTAAAGGTAGTAAACCTAGAAGGAAATTTTGTAGCAGAACTTAAATTAACAGTGAAACTATTGTGATTTATCGAAAAAGACTGAAAAATAGTTGGTTGTGTAGCGTGCGGTAGATCTCGGTCAAAAATCTAAGTGATAGTCGTTTACCGCGCAGCGGATAAAGAATACTGTATCGTAGTACTGCTTTCAGTCGACAGAGTGAGTGGTTGCCGGAGACAGTGTTGCCAGAACTACGGATTAATCCATAGGTTTACGGATTTTGGGTACAGTACGTTAATAATACGGATTTTCTATCATTAAACAATTTAATATAATATTATATGATTAAACAAAGAACGTCGTCAGAGTTGGCTTGGAAATGAAGATCGCTGTTATTTCATATGTAAAATATTATGGTAAATGTCAATAATCGTCATTTCGAAGACGTTTCCTAAACGCCTTTTTTCAATCATCCGATATATTCAGTACCTATAAAAGTATTTTTATTTTTGTTGTTTTTTCTATGTTTAACACGAATAAATTTTCAATACATAAACGCGGATTTTTCATTCAAAGATATTTTCGTCAAACGTATTACAGATACTACACATTTTAATATGGAAACACTGTCGCTTTCAGATCCACACCGTCTTCAATATGCCTTCGCTGGCCGAATTAGAGAAAATAAGTGTTTTAAGCGTTGGCCGCAGAACGATTGGTGTCTCCACCGTACAGCACTTGAGACGTAAGGGGAAATCAAATCAGCCTTGTCACGAATTCACCCATTAGGTTGTGTATCTTCCCAATTCTTTCAATAAACGGTAGTACATTTAGGGGACGTTTTGTCTTTCCAATAAACAACTCACCGCACTCACAAGGTACCTGAAAGTTACAATTTTGAAACTTACGTATTTAAACACTCAAAATCGTGATGAAGATTGGTCAGTACTTCTTTTAAATTTCTCTCTTTTCCTTGGAGTTGCGTCTCGTTCTCTGTCTCGGTGCTGTTGTGAACGCCTTGACACTGAACATCCGAGTGCATGCTAGAGGCTCTGTTCGTCACTCTGTTCCTCGCCGACTTGTACAGTTTTACCTTGGGTTTTGGCTGAGTACTTATAACCTGCGGTGGAGATTTATTTTATTTATACAGGGTTATGGTCCACCAAAGGTGTATTCCGTTGCTTACCTTGGTTATGGTTTTATGTTCCGTTTTTATCGGTTTCCTGAAAATATTCTTATTGCGGAACACGGTTCCTGAAAAATTCGGTTATAACTGTCGCCAAACTATGACCAAACCAGAACCAAACTAACCAGCGCGACAAGGCTGGTTTTTCTGGTTTTCTTTGTCAATCAATGTCATTTATGTGACAGAAATCAAGGAAATATTGGAAGTTCGAGTGAAATTCACATTTAATTTCTAAAATTTGTAATAATATTTTGTATTTACATCCAAAAGCAATGGATGTAGGCAATAAAGGTAAATAAATTTCATTAACTAAATAGAATTACTTTTTAGGGCCATTTAAACCTATCATGCAGCCATTGTTTCTTATAGTTAGGAACATTTAAAGAAAACATGAAAAACAAGACAACAAGTAATCGTGAATGTTTTTAAGCTACAAAAATATAAATATTGATTAGATTTGTTTATTTATTAATGATCTGTTTTAATATTGGAAATGCAAATCTTCACTTGAGCTGTCTAACGAGTTTAACAGTTTATTAATAAAGTACTTTTCGGTATTAAACTCTATTGAAAAGAAGAAGCAAACGTAAAAACAAAGAATAGGTACCTACATTAAAAATGCATAAAAGATAAATTTTATAATAGAGGTATTGAAATTTAGAAAACTTCAACATTTGACGTTTCCAGTATTTTACCAAACCGTTCCGTATCAAACCGATGTTTTTCAGGAACCGCTCTTTACCGTTGTTTACCGGTCTGGTTCGCCTGGTTTTGCAACGGAATACAGCCCAAGATGCCATCAGATTTTTTTTTAAATTTCAAGAATTGCTGAGTTTTTTGAAATAAAAAATTTTTTTTGAAAATCAATTTTATTTTTTCCTGTTACTTGTTAGAAAATCAAAAAACTAATTGCACATTCTCATAGCCACTTTATTAGGGCTATCTGAAGATATTTTTAGATTTAAATTAGTTGATATAATTTGTGAGATACAGATGTCAACTTAATTTTTTTAAATAGGGACCTGCATTTTTTATTTGAGGTTTTGAGAGTACTCCGTCTCCTGAGTACAATGATATGCCACACTTTATCCTTTTTTTGCTTTGGGTACCTTAACAACAACAAAACTATTTAATTATTATTTAAAATAATTTCAAGTCCAACCCGGATTTTTTAAATAATTTAATCTGCGTATATTATTCATCGCAAGAGAATTCATCAGCGCTAATTAACATTGAATAAGGAAAATCATGCTAATTGAAAGATTCAAATAAATAATATCCAAGAATCCAGGTCAGCAATTTAAAGATATTATTTGTAACTTTTTTTATTGTGAATTAATTATTGTATATATAATAATATTATTGTAACAATATGCATAATATTAATCGTAGTTATTATAAATAAATCAACTTCTATAAACTAGTTTCTAATGCTCTACATGTTCGAAAGTGTTACCACCCTCCCTATATTGCAGGAATTTATTATTTGTTCAATTTTATTTATAGCTCTTTGAACATATCTTTTTCGTAAACCTCCGAATGTATTTTGTACTCTTTATAGTACATGTTCAAAATTTTGATTTCACTATTAAAAATGACGCCAAGTAATGCCCCCGCAAATCATGAAAGTTTGAAAAGCAAATCTTGAAAAACTTTTTTGATGGCATCTTGGTGAACATCCCAACGAGCAACTTTACCCCAATTTAACCATGTTTGTATTTATTACGGTTACCGAGATACCAATGCTCGTACCGTAATATCGAAGTTGTAGCACCCTGTATATTATAAAATTTATATTACCTGTGAGTGAGGGTTATCAGAGGATGGTCTCATATTTCTCTGATACCTCGATGCCACTTGTTGGAAAGTTATATTGCTGGTTGGTACGCACGTGCACTGTTCTCCATTGTCGTTTCTTTCCATTTTCCATACAGGGATGTTTTTGGTTTTCACCTCCATATCTCCCGAAGGTCCTGGCGAAAATAGTGTTTGCAAGTAAAACAAAATAGTATTCTTTAATTAAAAAATCTTATGATATCAAATCAAGAATAACCACCTCTTTTAGTGCGAAACGTACAAGCTTAATAGCCGTAAAAAACTCATCGGAACTTTTCTAGAATACTTCGAACGGGAAAGCGGTAGTAGTGGCCTTTTATGTCCCTTAAGTTCTCTTAAGGAGGTGAGTTTTGTTGATGTAAATAATAACTGTTTATATATTTATAGTTAATTTATTTTTGTTTTATAAAATACTTCGATTAAAAAAAAAATATATAAAAATGAGCAACGCTGTGCCGGTCAAGCTTAATCACGTGATTTAAAGTTTATTTGATATAAACTGTAGTGTGGGATTATGTGTGTGCTTTAAATGCATCTGGTGGCAGCGGTGGGGTATTCAGCATTAATATTCATAAAAAAAGTAACAGTAGGAGTAAATAAAATACCTGTTATTGTTACAACCTTAGCTTCAGGAGTCTCAACAATATCCTCGTCAGCTTCCTCTATCACCTCGTTCGGTATATTACGCGCCTGTTCCTGCAACTGCTGGAAATTCAAGTACGTTTTCGATAACGGACATCTCGAAGGGGCTTGCCTATCAAAAAATAAACCCACTTTATTCCTCCTCAAACCCAAATCATCACCCCACTTACGAAATCCTGGAATTTATCGTCGAAACCAACACCGAAAACGGTTTACAGTTCATCTTTTCAGCTGCTAAACCAATATTATGCGCCAACGTTGGCGAAATCCCATTAATGGGCTGCCTGTTCTTGATGATATTCATCACTTGCTGAATATTTATGCCGATATTGTGACTTTGCGTGGTGGAAATGGCAGCACAAAACGGAATAGTTTTGATATTCAACGTTCCCAAGTATCTTTTAGCCACCTGTTTCATTCTGGAAGCCACCGTAGGCAGTTCGTAGTTCTTGCTGTAGCAACAACTCAGAGTCCTGGGTGCTTGGGACACATCGTAATAAAGTTCATTGTTAGGATATCCGGTCAAGCCGTTTTGACGGTAACCTGAATAAGTTTTAGCCAGACTTCTTTGCTCCGATACAGTATTTTTAAACGTTTTCATCTCAGGGTCTTCGATATTCAACGGAGGAACCTCACAACTCCCTCTCTGACTTTTTTCTTCAATCTGTCTGGATTTCTTCATATTACTGTCGTCCGAATCGGTTAGTTTTATAGCGGTGTTATGATAAATTTCAACTAGTTTATTGCTTTTCTGCACGATTTTACTAAAGTACTTGTTTTTAACTATGGTGGAGGACTTCTTTTCGAGAACGCCGGAGCTTCTCGAGATATTCGTTCGAGGTTTCTTCTCGATTTTCGAGGTTCTTTTGAAGGTGATTTGGGACGAGGTTCTGCTCTTGTTCGATTTCCTTTTGACGCCTCTGGATATCGGTTCTATAGACGTTCGGCTTAGTTTCAGTTCGGGGATGATTACGTTATGTCCGTCTCCTGTGCCTGAGTCTTTTGCAGATATATCTTTCTGGTAATCTAAAATGGGAAGTATCTACGTGTACAGGGTGGCTCGAATTCAACGCTCATCATTGGGATTTCGGAAACCGTAAAAGATACAAGATCGGTTAAATGGAGGCAAAGTTGCGCAGTTTGATGCTCAATAAAATGCCGTATTGCATTTTTATTTTTTATTTTTTTTTTGCATAAAATATTCTGATGATAGAATTTTCTGTGCGAAACGTCGGCAAATATCAAAGTATAGTCATATATTGTTTTAAGAGTGATAAAAGAATTTAATTAAATTGAAAAAAAATCAGGTCCGTATTTAAAAAAAAAGTCGATGATGGCCGCCAGAAGCCGAAACGTCAGAGTCAATATTTAATCACACAGAATTATAAAGCAGAAAAAATGGTCATAAAAATGTGTTTTTTATTTTAAGTTATCTTAACAAATAAAGCCAGGAAACAATAGAAAACAAAATTGAAAATTCCGTTTTTTTTTCGAATATATTCGGAAGTATTCGGAATTTTTCAAAATGCAATACGGCATTTTATTGAGCGTCAAATTGCGCAACTTTGCCTCCATTTAACCGATCCTGTATCTCTTACGGTTTCCGAAATCCCAGTGATGAGCGTCGAATTCGAGCCACCCTGTACAGGGTTTCCCAATTTTGTGTGTTTTACAGGTGTATGAGTAGTGATATCAAGATACGGTTTCTGCACTAATGTGCTACTGTTTATGAAACTAAAGATGCTATACACAGATTTGTCCTAGACCTCGTAGTTTATGAAATACAGGGCAAAATTGAAAATATTGCATTCTTCGACCCTCTTCCTATCTCGGTTGTCTTATAACTTATCGAAAAGGTGAAAACTTATGTTTTTTTAATGGAATACCCTGTATATTATTTTTTATTTTATTTACCTTATTATGAACTTTTAGAATAGAGTCTTATTAGAATAAATTATAAGCCAACCAAGATACAAAGAGGGTCGAAAAATACAACATTTTAAAATTCGCCCTGTATTTCAAGGATTAAAAAGGCTATCTTTAGTTTCATAAAAGTAGCACAGTAGTGTGAACACTGCGTCGTTGTATCTCTACTCATAAAGGAGAAACTTTGCAAAACACACAAAAATGGGATACCCTGACATATACACTTATTGAAAGCTTACGAAATTATTGTATTTATTATCAAATAATGTCTTTGATAAGTGGGTAAAGTTTCAATTTAATCTGATAAGTCTCAGAGATGAGGAAAATAATATTCGAAAAGTCCATTAGAAATATACCGTATGAAAAAGGTGTCAAAGATGGCTGGGAAATGCCAATCGATAATAATTTTGGCGAGACCAATCTCTAGACGTTATTTACTAAAAATTGACATAACTTGTCAAAACTTGTCAAAAATTAATACTATTTATACTAATATACAACCAATATACAAACACTTCCGACTGCAACCCCACTAGTTCCTAGATTTTCTATACTAATAATTATAGAAAGACTAAAATAAATTAAAACATTTCGAGACACACAAACACATTTCCAAAAAAATATTTTTTTCTCGAATTTTAAACTACACCATTTAAAAATGTTTACTCAATATAAAAATAAATTACAACCTTCTTAAGGCCAACTGGCATTAAGCCGTTGACGTAACTACAGGGGTACCGGGCCCCTCCAGGTACTGCTAGCTGGGCACCCCACCCCCGGGAGAAATCTTGAATTTTGACTGAACGATGACTTGACTAAACATTAATTTTTATTTGCTTGTGATGTAATAAAAATGACTTTTTCCATTTTTGTTTAGTTAATATTATTTTGACCGAAAACTTGGATCAATCAGCAGAAATAAAAGCTCGAATAGAAATAGCCAGAGCAGCCTTTGTAAAACTCAAAAAATGTCTCTGCAGTGGAGACATCAACTTAAAGCTTAGATTAAGAATGCTAAGGGGTTACATATTTGCAACTCTACTCTATGGTTCAGAGGCTTGGACACTTAAAAAGACCGAAATGGAGAAGCTTGAGGCATTCGAGAGACGGTGTTACCGGCGTATGCTGAGGATTGCATGGACTGACAAGGTTACAAATGTAGAACTGCGACGCAGAATTCAGAAGGACGAAGAGGTGATTAACACCCTTAAAAAGAGAAAACTTGAGTACTTTGGACACATAATGAGAGGACCTAAATATGCCCTGCTGCAGAACATAATAGAAGGAAAGATAAAGGGCAGAAGGAGCCAAGGAAGAAGAAGAACATCATGGCTCAAGAATTTAGAGAATGGTTTGGAATGACTTCAAACCAGTTATTCAGAGCAACCGTTAACAAGGTTAGAATTGCCATGATGATTTCCAACCTCCATTAGGAGATGGAACCCGAAGAAGAAGATTTTGCTCTGTTCAAAAAATGTGAGTTTTTATTTTTTTAAATTTGTAGCTATTTAAGTAATCCACAAGAACATGGGTTAATAACCAAGTCTATCAAATTTATTGATAGAGAAATTCATGTAAACGTTTAATTCAAAAAATGTATTTATTTTTAATGATATTCATCTTCATTTTTTTAAAGAACAATATCCCTAGGCCCCCCCTGGTTTCAACCCTAGCCTCCCCTCTCCAGGATGAACTGCTAGTTACGCTAATGCAGTAAGCTAAACATCGACAAAACTAAAATCATGTGCACTCCCCCGGAAGATCACAACAATGCTATAAAAATCGGAGAAGAACTATTGGAATATGTGGCGGAATTCAATTACCTTGGCAGTTTGATTTCGGAAAAGGCCAATATTGACTCTGAAATTCAGCACAGGATTAGTAGCGCCTCAAGAGCATTCTGGAAATTAAAAGACAGGGTTTTCTACAATCATGACTTGAGTACAAAAACAAAACTTGCAGTGTACCGAGCAATTATAATCCCCACCATGTTATATGGGAGCGAAACCTGGGTGCCGTACCGCCGACATATGAACGCATTAAACAAGTTGCAACAGAGATACCTTAGACAACTCTAAAGAGTCCGGTGGTTCCACTATGTCTCAAACGGTCCTTGAAAAAGCTAACTGCGAGAGTATTGAAGTTATGGTCACAAAATCCCGCTTAAGATGGGCTGGTCACGTATGCAGAATGCAAGAAACCCGCATACCAAAATCTCTGCTTTACGGTGAGCTTGTAGACGGTAAGAGGAGGCCGGGTGGACAACTGAAAAAGTACAAGGACATTTTCCACGAAAACTTAAAGGGAATTAACATGCAGAATGAGTGGGAAAAAGCAGCTCACAATAGAACTCAATGGAGAAGAGTTGTAAACTCAGTTAACAGCGGCAACCAAAAAGTAAAGAGGCAACAAAGCAATGAGATTTTTGAATGTCCGGAGTGCGGTAGGCAGATAACATCACGTATCAGGCGTTTCAGTCACAGGCTCGTGAAAGAAAACGCCTTGCGTGACCATCTTCTTTATGTGTGTCGAATACTCGTCAGCGAGTAACGGCTGTATGTATGTATGTATGTATGCAGTAAGCACCATTAAACAATAATGAAGTGTACGGGCAAGCTAAATGACATCTAGGGCTCGACCTCGCCAAAATTATCATCGATTGTTATTCGCCAGCCGTCATTGACGCCTTTTTTCTCCGATCATACGATATAAACAATTAAAGTTACATTCATTACCACTAGTAGCGCTCTTGGCTCGAGGAGTAGTGATCTGAGAGTGAATTTCAGACAATCTGTTCACCGAATTCGTAATACCGTTCAGGATGTTGTTGATGGTCCTCACCGCAGCCCCAGAATTGTCGGTTTCGATGGCGTTGGACTTCTGACGACTTGGACCTGATTTTTTCACGGAAATAGGTCTAGTTGTTTCTTCGTTACTAGTCGAAGAATGATCTGTAACGTTCAAATGTTTGATTAAAACAAAGTAAAACGGAATATTTAATTATTACTGGAGAGATTGGCTACGTTAGATATTTTTCTGGATTTGTTGGAACTTTTGTTGCCGCCGTACATTTGTTTCATATAATCCAGCTGGTCTTTTAAGGTGTTACATCGAGACTCGGCCATCTCCAGTTGCTGTTCGATGTCTGAAAGTATACAAACACTTAGTAGAAATCATGAACAAATTAGGCAAAGAAAATAAAGTCCGGTAAAAATACGAGAGAAAATCATTGGGTGGCTTTGATAAAAATTTACTGTGGAAAATGCCATATGATATATAAAACCGCGAATATCAGCAAAACCGTTAAAAATTTTGAAATACTTTAAATACAAAAAATATTCATTTTTTAATTCTCCATCGATTGAAAAAATAATATACAGGATGTATATTTTATTTAATAATAAAAATTCATTACTTTTTTTTTGTCATCACAGGTTTTCAACCTTTCGTACTAGAGATGTTGTGCCGAGTACCACAGCCCTTTGCATCGCCAAAATTGTGCTGGTCGGGATTTGTAGATTTTTTAGGTGGCTTTGCATATTTCTATGTACTAGTCCGTTAGCTGATATAATAATTGGTACAATTTCAACTTTAGCTAGATTCCATAGCTTTTTGATTTCAGTTGCCAGTTCCTGGTATTTAGATATTTTTTCGTCATACATCCGTGTCATATTGGAGTCTAATGGAACTGCAAAGTCTATTATTGTGACATTTTTCGCTGCTATGTCTTGGAAAACCATGTCTGGGCGATTATGATGCACTGGCTTATCAGCAATGATATCCATGTTCCATAAAATTTTGTAGCTGGTATTTTGTAGTATTGTCAAAGGTGTGTATTTGTAGTCCGGTGTGTAGGTTTGTAGCAGTTTGTGTATAAGACATAGTGCTTGATGTAAAGTTTTCTCCATGTTATCGTGTCTGCTAAGGTATGTGGTTGATGCTAGTGATGTGCAGCCTGATATGATATGCTGTATACTTTCTTGAGCAGGGCAACCTCACCGACTGTTGTTGACGGTACGTCTTCTTTTAGTATGTATTTTCTATATGTTCTTGTAGGTACTACTTGGTCTTGTATCGCCGCCAATGCTCCTTCTGTTTCTGGGAAGAGGTATCCGTGCTTCAGGTAGGTGACTGACATGGTCTTGCATACATCCTGCTCTTTAATACTGGCAGCGAACCTCCCATGGAGTGCTTTTTGCGCCCAATCTGATTTTAGTTGTTGTCTCCTTGCTCTGTATGTTTCTACTAGTTGTTGCGCTAGATTTAGTGCACTCAGATTTTTGTCTGCTTTGATGATGGCTTGTATGGTAGTAGAGCGTTTCGCATGAAAATATTTGATGAGGCTTTCTTTCTGCTGCAGGTGTGCAAGTTCAAGATTTATAAGAGATCTTCCTCCATCGCTTCTTGGTAAGTATAACCTTTCCAAGGCAGACTTTGGATGGTGCATCCTGTATTTAGTGAGTGGTGTTCTGACTTTTTGATCCAGATGTTGTAGCTCAGTGGTAGACCACGGCAGAATACCAAATGTAAACGTGAGTGCAGGTGCTGCCCAGGTATTGATTGCATCGAAACAATTTTTTGCTTTCAGACAGGTTCTCTGTACAACATTTAACCTGCGGAAAAATTCTTCTTTAACCCGTTCTCTGTTTCATGTTTCTTTGATGTTAAATGCTTGTTCAATTCCCAGATACTTGTCTTCTTGTTCGATACCTATTCCATCTATTGATGTTCCATCCATCAATGTTATACTTTCCGGATCCTGGACTTTACCTTTGGTTATATGTATCGTCGCATATTTGTCAATTCCCAGTTCCATATGGACTGCCGCACTAAAAGCTGCTACTGTTTCTAATTGGCTGCCAAGTTGGTCGGGATCCCTAGCATATAATTTAAGGTCGTCCATATAGAAAAGGTGCGTGATCAGGGGCGCAACTAGACATATACTTTTAGGGGGGCTCAAGTCTTTTGGGGGGGCTTAGGTCACTGTAAGCTAATATTGATGTGGGGTTAAAACCAATTTCATACGACACGCACTGGAAATCTGGGAGGCTAAGCCCCCCCTGGCCCCCCCCTAGTTGCGCCTCTGTGCGTGATTGTGGTGTTAGGACTTATTTTGTATCCGTGTGGGCTACTGTTAAGCATGCTACTAAGGGGGTTAAGGGCAAGACAGAACCACTTATTATTAACCATTTAAAAAAACGAAGAAAAATTATTTTATATTTTAGAAAGTTTGGCCTAGAATTTTGAACACCCAGTATGATTTAAGATTACATATTTATAGCAAAGTAAGTACAGACCATCTAAAGTAAATAATATCTAGTATATAGTTTTGATTTCAGGACAGTTCTTATATTTTTAATATTTTTTTTAAGATAGGCTAAAAATAGTATAGTAAACGCCACGAGTTTGGGAGTAATTCATCGGTCGCTACCATGTGAACTAATCTGTTCAAGGTCATAAAAAACTTAATTCCAGTGCCGTGGTGTTTCAAGTCAGATAATAATCAATATATAATCTGTTGATAATCAATAATATGGAGCATTCCAGCAAACTGTCAAAGTCTTGTCAAAAGTCTTGTAAAAACATATATTTAGTTATAAATATAAATTGGAATGCCCCATTGGTCGCACTGTAAGCACACCAATGGACTGACACACCAAAACGAATCAATCAAAGAAACGCTATATAGTATCGTCTTTGTCAATCACGCTAACATTTTAGAATAAGTAGGAGGAGCGCAGGCAGATGATTAGACCGGGCCTTTAAAAACCTACGTCTGCGGTAAACATTTACGTTTTTAATGTAAAAATTATAGCGCGCGTGTCGATTCTAACTTCATCAAGCGATGAATCACTCCCAAACATTCGTGGCGTTTACTATATATTGTTTTAGTAGGAATAAAAATTACACTTTTTGTGGCGAGATTGTACATTTCAGCGACATACAGCCGAGGCACAAAAAGTTATTTTTACTCCGAATAGAACGTGCTATTTTTTTTAACGCCACAAATAATTTTTAAACAATTTCAAATTTTCCAAATAATATAAAAAGATTTAAAAGTCATACCTTGTATGCACTTGTATGTAATTATACCGTATGATCGAGAAAAAACGGCGTCAGCGATGGCTATGGAATGAAGATCGCTGTCATTTTATATGGGAAATGTCATTGATGTTCATTTCCCAGCCAACTGGACGCCGTTTTTTTTCGATCATACGGTACTTACACATATCGAGAAACTATGGTTACGCTCGTTAAGTTTGACACTTTATGTCAGTTTAATGATATATATTTCATAGCAACTGTTAAAATTGCCTTATATCTATCAAAAATAGTAGATAAAATAGTACTTTAACCGCAAGGGTAGATTAAATGATAGTTTAACAGCGAGAATAGGTTAAAAACTTTATTTCTTCTCGCACGTTTTTTAATTGCTTCCATTTTTGAAAATTTTTGTATTCCTTTTCATAAGTTATTCGGGATTTAAATGGAAGTAATTTGGATATGGCGTTTGTGGCCTCAGCCTGAATATCTGTTGGTAAGTTACTTATTTTGTTGTGGGCCATTTCTGGCTCCAATTCAATCAGCAATCGACACGAAAGAGACTTAAAAAATATTGACCCAAAACTGACAACTAAGGAGACAGCTTTATTTATTTGTCAAATTACATAGAAACCAATGCCAGCCCAGCACAATATTTTTTCTACCCGTAATAAATTCCTTGAAATAATAATTTCTGAATATTTTTTAAAACGTAACTCGCTATGGAAAAAAATATTGTTTTATACACGACGATAAAATTGCATTATCGTCTCCCGAAATTAATTCACTCGCGATTTCACGCTTGTGAATTAATCTTTTCGGTCGAAGATAAAATGTTATCGTCTATTAAAAAATATTAATTTTTCGTATAATAAACCCTTTTATCGTCTTGTACAAAAAATAACAACTATTTTAGTACTTTAATGCTAACGCGTTAAAATGACTTTTTATATTGTCAATCACGTCGCAAAAATTAATACTTAAGGTTACTTAAATTTTTTGGTTATTTATTAATATCTCTGAAACTATCGACACATATTATTATATACCTTTATTATTATTATATACCTTTACATAATCCGTTATGTAAAGTGAACTGAAAGGAAGCCAAAATGCAATAATATACAAAGTGATACATTAAAAAAAAATCATCTCGATCCATTCACACTTTTTTGAGCCGCTCTATAAAAGTTAAAATATTTTGCTGAAATACATCCTAGTACACACTATAGGTTTACACTTAAACAAAATTCCCAAGTTTTTTATTCTAGGATCTACAGATGCCTGACGCACTATTGCCGAACGCTGTATAAAGACGCCCAAACCTAAGTACAGAGAAACAACGAAGAAAAAATAACAACAACGAAATGTATGACAGCAATTAAAAGAAGATTCTCCAAAAATCACTAAATAATTGACTACATGTGGTAAAATTATTATTATTTTTTATTCTATACGTATATCTAATAACAATTTAAACACCTTTACTAAATCCAACAGGTAAGCCCAGATCTACCTTAAACCTGTCCATTAGCATCGACCAAGAATAAATGTTACGTTTCTACGTCAAAGATGACATCTGACGTCTCAATATAAATATTCCCGTAACAAAATATGGACGCGCCTTCGCCTGATATGGTGGAGCTGCAGCGCAGGCCCACTCCACACCACCGAGACCACGTGCTCATTCTGCACGAGAAACTGGCCAAACGAAAAAGCGATCGGTACATTTTGAACTTAGCCTTAGCTTACCACCGTCTAGGATACAAAGTCACCATGTTCACCACTCAATATAACAAAGGAGAGTCAATAGAAGACCTGGAAGTAAGTCAAAGCTCGATGTAATACACGAATTATTAGTTTAAAACATTATTTTTTTTAGTATTCAAATAAAGTCGATGTTAAATATTCCGCATGGTGGATACCAAGAAGCTTTCTGGGTTTGTTTCGAGGATTCATGTCGATCTTAAAATCAGCATGGATGGCTTTTAGGATAGTTTTTAACCCACCTAAAGTTAAACCGTCCTTAATCCTTCTGGATATCAACCTCGTAGCTTTGTTCTTGCTTCATTTCTTTAGCCACTACAAACTCTTCTATGTCCAGTTAATGGAGTCGATAAGAGAAAATCCAGAATTATGCGAACACACCAAGTACTTTCCCACGTTATTTGAAGCAAAATGGATTAAGTTGGCTGATATAATTCTAGTCGAAACAGATGGATTTGCTGAGATATTTAAGCAATCGTTTCCAGCACTGAACCAAGACCCCATAGTGCTGTACCCTTCGATTGATATAGGTTTGTGGAAAGAGCCAGCCATAAAGATTCAAAGAATCATTCCAGACCTTCTTGATAACACTACCATTTTCCTAACTGTCGGGAAATTTAGGCGTTCTACTAATTTCAAATTGGCTTTGGACGCGTTTGAGTTACTTTTACAGCTGATCGATGACAGAGATATGACTAGAAGGTTCCAGCTAGTCATTGCAGGAAATTGTAAGACCTTAGACGAAAAACTGTACTATAACCAGCTGGTATCCATGACCAAAGAACGTATGTGCGCATCACAGGTCACCATCCTAAAGCAACTACCTGTCGTACACGAGAAAACACTCATCATGGAATCGGCCGTGATGATTCATCCGTCAAAATCAGACGTGTACGCGGACTTTATCTTGAAGGCGATGAGTTTGGGAAAGCCTACCGTGGCTGTGAATAAAAGTATAGCTTCGAAGTTGCTTCAAAACAGAATAACTGGTATTTTAACTGAAGGAGATCCGAATACTTTGGCTCAGGTGTTAAGAAAGTTAATGCAAAGCTCACACTTGCAGACTTTTATGGGTGAGATTGCTCGAGATACGTTCCAGAAGAATTATTCTTTTAATAGTTTTTGTGAACGACTACGTACGTTATCGGTGAAAAGCTCGACAGATATTGTGCAAGAGTTTAACAAAAAGACGTAAAGTTTTTTATAAATAAATAAAAATGTTGTGGTATATAATGTTTTATTTACCTTGTAGCCTTATATCGTTGGGATTTTCGGCAGCCATAAGATCATCGTCACCATCTAAATGTAAAAAAACCATCTGTCACAGGGGAGATATGAAAAATAGCAACACTTACCGTTGGCATTTTGTAGTTCTCGATAGCCCCTGGTGAAAATTTCATCGCTCATAATGTTGAAAAGTTACAAAGCACGATTACAACAAACAAAAAATGGAACAAAACTCTTCATTGAACGCGAAATTATTAACGATAAAAAATTAGTCGCGTAGAGGCATTCTTTTGACAAGTCGTGCTGAAATGTCAGCGAATTTTTGACAGGACCAGGATAACAAACGCACCTAGACTTTTCCAAAGACGCAATTAAAAGGGTGAATAGGGACCTTTTAAAAGAGCTTCATTGAAATTGTTTTTTTTTATTGAAAAAAACCTGGGTATATAACGAGAAATAAAAAAAATCAGACATATTTCTAAATTATTTATCAAATCATATCATAATTGTAATAAAAACGTTAATAAAAATAATTACCCGCCATGGGTATTTCAGAAAAGATGTGCCATCTCACGTAAAAATAAGACTTATTTTTCATATCAATATAGGTCCGATTCTGCTTTGTTTCGGAGCTACAGGGTGTTAAAGTCTTAAAAATTTTTCGATTTATTATAATTTTCTTCCAAGTACTTTTAGTCGAATGAAATTTTGAGGGTAAAAGTTACTATAAGTGCTACATATTTTAATGCTAACAAAGTGTCGATAAAGTCATCAGGAACGTGCATATGTGTTATAACTGGAATATTTTTCAAAAAAAACATGTGTGCCACTGACTTTTTTCTTTTGATATCAAAATTGAGTAGGCCGTTTAATGCCAATTAAAAGTGATCTTTTGATATTTTGTCGAATTCGGCCTGCTTTAATATAGATAGAGATAAACGCAATTTTATTAATAGATAGATAGATAAACGCAATTTTATTAATCACAATTAATAAAATTAAAATAAAAATGAAATTAATAAATTATATATTTTACCTAATTTATTATTAAATATTATTACTATTAGTTATTATTACTATTAGTCCAACCTACAGCAATTTCAAATAAAAAAGTTATGGTATTTAAGATAATTACCATTAGCGTCACTAGCAATTTATATTGGGGTGGGCCTTGGGGCGGCTTGGGGTTGAGTCCAGGGGGGGGCCTAGGGCTTTGTTTTTTAAATGAAAAGTAACTTTTAAAAACACATTTTTTTATAAAAAGTTTACATGAATTCCTCTATCAATAAATTTCATAGATTTGGTTATCAAACCGTGTTCCCTAGATTACTTAAATACCTACAAATTTTCTAAAAAAAAATAAAAATTAACACATTTTTTTGAACACAACAAAATAATATTAACTATGTAAACAAAACTAGAAAACGTCATTTTTATTGCATCACAAGCAAATAAAATTAATACATAGCCAAAAGTCATAATTCAGGATTCTCTGGAGGGTGCCTAGCAGTACCAGGGTGGGGGGGCTCGGCACCGCCGGGCACCCCTGTAGTTACGCCAATGATAATTACAAAATACCTAATTTTAAAAAGTTTTAACATCCTGTAACTCTAAAATTATGCATTTCCATACTCATGTTTATAAGAACTTTTTTTCATATTTTTTGATGAAGAATCAAAGAGTACTCATTTAAAACTCTCGCAAGTTAATGATATCAGGGATGATACTAATTTTTTTTAAAGGTTGCTATTAGACTTGGATCAAGGCAAATTAAAAAATTGCGTTTATCACATCAAGGAGGCCGAAATCGACAAAATATCAAGAGACAACTTTTAATCGGCATTAAATTGCTAACAGTACTTCGCTAACAAAAGAAAAAAAATCAGTGGCGTGCATGCTTTTTTTGAAAAAACATTCCAGTGATAACCCATATGCACGTCCCTGGTGAATATGGCGACACTTTTTTAGCCTTAAAATATGTCGCATTTATACTAACTTTTACCTTCAAAATCATTTGAAACGCTAAAAGTACTTGGAAGAAAATTATAATAAATCGAAAAAATATTAAGACTTTAACACCCTGTAGCTAGGAAACAAAGCAGAATCAGACCTATGTTGATATGAAAAATAAATCTTATTTTTACGTGAGGAATCTCTCCACGAGAGATGGCACATGTTTTTTGAAACACCCTGTAAAACGCAAACCGGATGCAGAATACATGTAATGAAGACACTACAAAATACAGGGTGTTTCTTAATGACATGGTAATGTTTAAGAGGGTGATTCTTGCACCTATTCTAAGAAAAAAACTCCATATCAATGCATGTTCTAAACATCTTAACTTTCGAGTACAGGGTGGTAAAATTTACTTATAAATATCGGTTTTTCATAACTCTGATGTTGTTGTATTTCTATTTTCCTTCCAGTCAAAGCAGAAACGATTTTCATTAAACAGTCACCGCATCATATTTTTAACGATTTGCCCTGAAGTGAAATGACTATTTTTAAGTCTAATTTTTATCCCACTGGATATATTGGACAATATTTAAATTCTCAGTCGAACTATTCTGAAGCAACCAAAAGAAGTATAGCTAAAACATTATGTCATAGAGCAATCACTATATGCAGTGACCAAGTATCTCTGAATTCTGAACTAAGTAATATTAAACCGATTTGCTTCAGAATGGTTACTCTGCAAAATCCCTAGACAATGTTATATCCAATTGCAAGTTTGGCTCATTGATGGGTCAGTCTGAAGAGGATGCTCTCGCTCCTGACGATTCGATATGTGAAAAGGATATCGGTGAAGATTAGGCGAATAGCTAAGCAGTATAAAATTAAAACTGTTTTTAAGTCTGGAACTACTCTAAGAAGTATCCTAACAAAAACAAAACCGGAATCATTAAACCAAGAAAAAGAGTGCATCTACCATGTACAGTACGTCTGTCCGTTCTGTAGCTAAGGGGTATCCGTGAGAGGGTAAACGATTTTCTCTCGATGATTTTCGTAAAAAAATAGACGAAGCGTCCCATCAATAAAAATTCGACAAATTTGCAAGTAGCCAATAAAATGAGTGGGCGGAGCGATTTGCGGTGACGTACTCGTCAAGTCGACGTATAAAATATATTGCTGTTTATTTAAATGTTTTTTGTCCGCATTCCTTTCATAGACACAGATCCAGCAGACGTACTTTACCTTGCGAGTGCGGTGAGTATATTGGAGAGACAAAACGTCCTCTACATGTACGACTTGATGAATATTAAAAACATACGCAAAGAGGTGAAACAATGAAGTCGGGCATTGCAGATCATGTGTGGTCCAAGCAAGTTCGGTTTGTCCACAAAGAACCCCATTGGAAAAAGCGCAAATTTAAAGAGGCCGTATTCATTTCTAACAATAATAAAATCCTTAACAAGCCAAGTATGGAAATTTCAACAATATTGTAACCGCTCATAAAACGCTCCAATGCAATGCAGGTATACTTAGTGGAGAACCCTATGCTTAACTGCATCCAACTAATTCACGGGTGAATTCTCGGCTCTAGTATATAAGTTCAGTAGTTTTAGGATTTAGTTTAGTGTACACTTGATAACGGTCATTGATACTTCTGACCGAAACGTTGTGTAAGCAAAATAAATAAAGACAATGGAAGACCGAAATTTTTTAGTTTTAATGGGAATTTCATATTGCTGAAACGTCTAGACTATCTTAAAAAGAGTGGTTTCTGCAAATTAACGATTTTCCAGCATTCATGGGACACAGGAAACTTACTTTAACAATGTAGAAATCATAATAAAAGAACTAATAGCTTTAATTCAATCAAATAAAAGGAATGTAGATGTTACTGTACGTCTGTCCGTTCTGTAGCTACGGGGTATCCGTGAGAGGGGAAACGATATTCTCTCGATGTTTTTCGTAAAAAATTAGACGACGCGTCCCATCAATAAAAATTCGATAAATTTGCAAGTGGCCAATAAAATGAGTGGGCGGAGCGATTTGCGGTGACGTACTCGTCAAGTCGACGTATAAAATATATTGCTGTTTATTTAAATGTTTTTTGTCCGCATTCCTTTCATAGATACAGATCCAGCAGATGTACTGTAGTAAGTAATGCAGGACTTTCTTTAATTTTTTTTTCAAACAACATATTTTGAACTGTAAATGTGGACGCTTTGGCCGCAACATAAAACAATGAATCTAGACGTAATCTCGCCGGTTTTTAATTGAAAATCTAACTGATTTCCAGCGTAAATGATACCTTAAAAGGCTACGCAGACCGTCAATTACAATTCCTCATACGAGCAAAATCACGATGCAATTTTTGCAAAATCGCGGCAACGGGACCAGAAAAATTTTCTTGTTTTCTCTATGATTATGCCGGGATCTAACACTAGCAGAAACCAGTGGCGGAGAGCAGTAGTTAACTTAAACCAAGAAAAAAACAGTAAACTAAGTCTTTTTGTAGAAGACTACTTTACTGTAAAACAGTAAAGTAGTCTTCTATTTTAAATACCTTTTTTACAGTTTAGTAAACTTAAATAATAAAACTTTAAATAATGAACAAGTATAGCAGATTTTTTCGCCAAATATTTTCTCAATCGTGTTCTTCAACAGTTATAACGTAAAAATATTTTGATAGTGCTTAGTCTTAACAGTGTCTTATCCAGTCCAAGTAGCATTTTTGGACACATTTTAGGTAATGTTTCCAATAATTGTGTCTGTTTCTTGATACAAAATGGAATCGGTATGCCACAAATAGGAAACAATTTCGAAACCTATATATTTTATATGGCTTACGTATTACATGTGTTTCCAATGTGGTGGCACTCGATGATTCCGCATGTTTCGATGCGGAAATGTTTCGAAACATTTTTTGCAATTTGTGTCCAAGATGTTCCCGTTTTCAGTAGCCACTTTTTTTAAATGCGAAGAAACAAAATACCAAACTAAAATAGTATATGTCTAGGTGTGGATTTCAAAACGAAAACAACCATCAATAATGTAGACCTCCGTCATAATTTTTTTGTCTTAAAATCTTGGTTTTTAGGTTTTCTCGCACAAAAAATGTATGGCAAAAGCAAATTCGCCGTTTAATTTAATAATGTACTTTCATATTTTTAATGCCACTTACTCCTGTTGGGTATGGGTAGTGGCTGTTATCAGGGTCGGCGGAAAGGAAATATTGAGACCGGGCAAATACCTTACCTGGCGCCCCTCGCCCCCAATAGTTAACATGCTCCCATAACAATTAAGCATATTTATGCTACTTTAACAACAAAATTTCACTTAAAGGTACTTCAAAAGTCTTCTCGTTCAAT